CCCCCCCCCATATTTGCTCCTACACACATTATTATAGTTGTATTTTTTTGTGACTGCCAAAGGCGGCGAGTCCACTGCATGGATGGGGCGGGGTGTTGGCGTGTTAATCGCGCACAGTGTGCAGACGTTTCCAAACGTCCGATGTCTGAGACTCGTTTGCTCCGATGCTTTAGGCGCTTTGAGTTATTGTAATGCATACGTGTCCTCATCCATATGACGACAACTTTGTCAGCGAACGGTACTGGCCCTGTCCCCTATGGCTCAAAACCGCCAGCCGGCATCCTCCACACCGCGGAACAGCCCCTACCCGGGAAGTGCTTCCATGTCCACGGCCGGGTCATCGGCAGCGGCAGGCCAGGGCGGTGCCGGGGTAGCGGGGGGAGGCCCCGCCACAGCACCCGGGGCAAGCGGTTCGGGCGGGCACGGTGGAGGGGAGGATGAGGTGGAGGAAGAGGTGGATCCCGAGAAGCAAGCCATGTTTCAAGCGCAGGATTTCAATACGTCGCCGGTGCTGTGGGTCAAGGTAGGGGGTGATGGGGGCGTCTTGGCCTTGACTGGAGTTTTTCGGTCTTTGGTTCTGGATTTGCTGTCAACAAACGGAAACGATTGACATTTGCTGTTTTGTTTTTGAAGTTGTCACGTTTTGCCGTTCAAAACGCGTGATGTTCGCTTTTTGTAATGCCCCCCTAGCAACACTCCTCCTCCTTCCAGTCGTAGCTTCCTCCGGCATCATTGAAGAAGCACACAACGTGTGTTCAGAGGTTTGTGGCTGAACCGACTCTGTGCTTGTGGCCCATTGACTTTGGTGATGATCGCGATGATGATGATGGTGGTGACGTCTGTACGCCACGGGACAGAACCGCGTATGCGAGATTATTCCGCTGTCTCTTGATACCACTTTCGACCGACAGCACTCGTACATTGTCCAATGCAAGAGGGTAGGCTTCCACATTTCATTACACAACTTAATGCGTGATCCAGAAGCACAACACGTTGTTTTTGTTTTCCTTGTCGATGCAGGTGGACCCGCAGCTAGAATGGATGATGAGCGTGAGGATGAGGAAGCCGTGGCACCAGTGGGTTGAGCAGCTCTTTTGTGATGAGAGCGTGGAGGCACAGGTATGACTGAGTGTGGTTGAGGCGACACCCTGGCACTCTGCTGATTGTGGCCATGAGTTCTGTTCATCACTCGCGCAGCAAGGTCCTTCTTGTTTTCCTCTTCTTGGGGTAGCTGGTGTCCTCGGAACACCAACAATATTGTCATGATTCGAGTTGCAATAGATGTGATCTGATTCCATTGGGACCTTAGTGAACGTTAGATGTTCGCTCGCGTGTGGAACGAGTTTAGAAGTTTCACGAAGTCAGTATTCGTTTGACATGAATCGGCGTAGTGCGCTTGGATCTCGCTCGGAGCTCGTGTGGGTTCGGAAGGGGTTGGTGGGTGATGGTTTTGCTTTGACGGAAAAAGAGTCGTCTCGATGCGGTCAGACGTTGTCGACGAAGCTGCCGTTATCCGCTCGAATCGACACCGGAGTGCACCCAAGGACCACCATCACTTGTCTGTCATACTTTGCGGAAGTGGTAGTGGGCCTTGCGTTGATGCTCTCGCTCGGGAAACATTTCCGTCGCTCATCGCCCCCAATGTCTTTTCATGACGTAACAGTGTGCCGTGGCAGTTCTTGCTGTATCGCCTTTCTTGCGGTGCAGTGGGTCGATTGCCTTGTCGGAGTGCCATCCGAACGTAGCCGAATGCCATTCGATGCACATGTGTCCCCATATAATAGTTTTTTTTAACGAAAAGAGTGGCCCGTATAGGGGTACGTTTTTTGTTTTGCAAAAAAAAAGCTGTTAAGAGAGATCGTGTGTGGATGTATGTGCGCACGAGAAAAAGAATAATTTTCATGCCCAGGGGCGTGAAAACGACGCGATGGCTGTCTGATGTCTGTCTGTCTGGTGTCTGCGCGCCCTAAATAACCCAGCAGACTCGAGCCCATTTCACCATCTCGGCACCAAATTGCAAACTAAAACTTGCGCACAACAAGTAACATTTTGCCCGAGCTGTCCCAACCGCTACCTTTGCAATCCGCGGTCGGTGTCTCGAGATAGCACACCGTTTGTGCAAATATATATGTCACATGGACGCATCCCCGACTTCTCGGCCGGAAGGCGTCATATTTCTTTTTTGGGCAAGAAACTACACGCACGCAAGAAACCACGACGCACTGCCGTGCTGCACACACTGCTGCTGCTACTGGCAAGACACGCACTACACAGAGACAGGGAACATGGACAAGGGGGGCGGGACACACACATATACTGCTGTTAGCGACGGCGGAGGAAGCGGGGAACGTTTGGTTGGTCTGGGGTTCAT